CCACACTTAGCCAGGATATCGACGTAATACAAATGAGTGAATAATCATTACTATTATTAGCTTGTTACAGTCTGCAGTAAGTCTACAAGTGACAGTGGGATGTGTTACTCGTCACTGGAAGACAATTGTGTCATTGATATGTAATGCTCTAAAAATAAGTCATTCTACAACTGGCGAGTTAATGTCAACTCCCGGATGAGAGCGACCATTGGGGAATTAGTAAGAACACAAATGCACGAAAGCGTCGAAAATAACTCCCGCGAAATTCCCAAAAGAATTTGTCATTGTTCAAAATAATAATAGGTATGATTAATTAGTATGAAGTTATTGTTAATAACTACGTGCGGGGGGTTTCATTTTATCGCATGGATGCGTTTTCAAATTACACAAAACTTCTGAAACTCAATAGTTGCGAATACATCGGAAGTGTTACAATATCCTCCGTCTGAGATGTGATGTGAAAACGGGGAAACTGCTACTAAAGATAACCATGTCTTGTAATATGATACGAGCCCACCTTCACGCAGAACCTCCAAACTGAACACATTTTGTTTTAAAGCGGGAGGGTCGTCCCACACCGAGGTTACGACTCTGTTAGCCTCGCTCAGCTGGTTCGTAACCAGTCTTGTGATTTGTTCTTGACAAATTCTAAACAGGCCACGACTCCAACTGTGTCGTGCATTCGGGCCAACCGTTAATTATTCATAAATGGAGTCAAGTTGTGCAGTTTTCTTGATTTATTCTGCAGATATAGGTAAAATATAGGTAAGACTTTGGCGAAATTTGAAAGAGCAACTAATATTCTTCAACCTGTTTTTTTCCAGTTTAAAAACATGAGCTGACTGGAGCCTTCATCCCTTGTCTATTTCTTACGCTAGATACCAGCCGATACCCACCCCCGCTCATATGGAATGCGTACAGTTGATTATAGTTCCTGGACTCCTTGTGGCTAAATTCACTAAAAAGACATGCTCGCGAAAAAGAATGTTTTACAGCAACTTACACTTAAAACACAACGTACATAACTGTTCTGTACTCCCACATAAACTGTTTTTCCCTTGTTGATTAACGTTCTTAATTCGTTATATAATCATGTAAACACGTCCCAACAACAAACCACGGATACGCATTTGAACTCTGACCGAAACTGAAATGTATTTGTTGTGTCAGTGGGTCGTACATGTGCACATGCACCGGTGTCAATCAACCTCAAAGAGATGCACGGCGTTTAGTAGTTCAGTACAAGTACGCAGGTGAATGATCGAACAAACGCCAGAAAAAAAAAATATTCGCTGGATTTTATTTTCTTTGAACCATCTCATCAGGGAGAATGAAGTGTTTTATTGCTGACCCCACAAAACAAAACAAAAAGTTCGTTCTGGACCCTGACCGGTTAATACGGTTAATAGTCATTATTACATGTAATGACGCCTTTCACAGTTAATATATTTGACATTTGATCAGTTTGTTCCCTTTGAACGTTCAGGGTCAATGGAATTGCAACAATACGACCTTATAAACTGTCAGGAGACTGCCATCACGACCGGGCGTTCATATAAACACTATATAAGCATTACATGAAGAAGAAAATGAAAAAGATTTCCATAAGGAAATATTAGAGAAATTGAAATTAATTAGGAGAAATGAAATAAACAGCAATAATGATGATAATAATAATATCAGACAAATTCACACAATTACAATAAACCAAGATGATGTCACAAATGCGATAAAATTTTGCAAATCTGGAAAAGCGTGTGGCCCGGATGACATAGTCAATGAATTTATCATGAATGGTGGTGAATCGCTTGTTCAGTCTTTGACAATTCTATTTCAATCATGTTTGAATAATAAGAAAATCCCAGACGAATGGAAACAAGGAGTTGTAAAACCAATCCATAAAAAAGGTGATAAAAAAGATCTAAATAATTATAGAGGCATTACTCTGAACTCAACAGTATCAAAAGTTTATGCTAAAATAATTGAAACTAAATTAAAACAATTTGTGGAAGATAATAACATATTAGGTGAGATTCAGGGTGGATTTAGAAAGGACAGACGCTGTGAAGACAATATCTTTACACTCAGGTATTGTGTCTCAGCGAAAATCTTAAAAAAATTCTACATATGTTGCTTTCCTAGATTTTTCTAAAGCTTTTGATCGAGTTTGGAGAGATGGGACTTCGGGTTTCACTGTGGAATGCAGAATTAGAGGAACATTGTGGAATATAATTAATGATATGTATGAAAATGTTTTAACAAAGTTAACTTTAACGACATAGAAACGGAT